TCAGTTTTGCATGTACACATACACACATGGACATTGGGGGGGGGATGGACAATATTTCAGTTTTCCCATTATGCCATTTCTTATTTAAATTATTAAAAATTATTTAAATACCTATTTTGTAGCTTTTCCTCTTTTGAAGTTACACACACATGAAAATGAAAAATCAGAAATGCTTACAAGGAATTTTCAAAGATAAAGAAAGTGAGTGTTTTAGGCTGGATACTATTATCCAGTCATATTGACAGGTAACTTAGCCTGATAAAAACGCCTTATGTAAGGCTATCAAAAAGTATTGCCTTTATAAATGACAAGAAATATTAACGATAGTATTAGCTGATGTTTCCTTATAAGGAAACATTTAGTATTCATTGACCATGTAGCCAATGCTGTTGTCAGTTGAAATTTATAAAATCTTTCCCTTAAAACAATTTTTCAGAAAAATAGGCTTCTTAAGTCCAGTAACTGTTATTGCTCTTTCCATTATTGATGGGGGCTTCCTTCCTAACCTTTTGTTCAATGTAGTGTGGAATGTCAACATCTTGGTTATGTCATCATTTTGTATATAAACAGATAAGTTTTGGGCAGTCAGATTAAATAAGAACCAGAAAGTGCTAAAATAAGTAAGTGCAACATTTAGTGTAACATTTTTAAAAAATATCATCTTCCCAAATTTCATTTATGTTAGTAGGTTATTCATGAAACTCTATGTAGCTAAAGATTCACACATACCAACTGTAGATGACTTCAGGCAATTCTCTAACCCATTTCTAAATGAAGAGGTACTGTTTGGAGAGTAGATCCTCAGTGCTCAATCAACATTAATAACTGTGATTCCTTTCCTTGATAAAAAAAGGATTAGGCAAGTATATAACTAAAGAAATTTCCAATGAAAACAAGGTTGTAATATTTTCCTAAAACAGGGTGAGATTTCAGTTGAGGATTTTCATCATACAACACTGATTATTTGGTAAACTTGCTTCCAGACTTGTACCAAATTATCCATTTCCATAGACTAGCAGATGTCACATCATAATGATAATACAATAATCTGCCTCTGACCCAATAATTCTACACACTTTGTGTCTTTAAAACATTAGGACTGTGAGACAGTGATGTATAGATTTTTGGTGATGCCTGGGGGGTCAACTCCTTGATTATATGACCCTAAGACTCAAGTAGGAGGGGGGGGCTATAGGGCCCAATATTGAGAAATGTGAGAAAAGAAGAGATTTTAAATATAAGTAAAAACAGATGAAACATGAAATAAACACTTTATTTCAAATTAAATATAGATTAAATTTTTATTTGAATACCCTCCCGAAATGGATGCCCCAGGGCTGTCACACCCTCTTCCACACTCCTTCTGCATGCATGTGAGAAACTTAAAATATTTCTTGCGTCTTGCCAGAATTTACCACATCTAACATACCAGCAATACTTAAACTTCACAGAGTGCAGTATTTCTTGGATCCAGGATTGGATAAAAGATATGCAACATGATGGTATGTACATGGTAGACACATTCTTTATTTACAGCAACTCATTGGCTAAAGTTGGCTGAACAGTTGTTAAGAATAACCATTTTGGTTTTCCAATTGGCCTCTCGACATACTGTGCATTTATAAATGCTTTGTTCAGATTAAAAGAGATGAGCAGTGACTTGAGATTCAGTCGTCTATATCCATTGAACTGAGATATGGTGTATCATCCAGGGACTAAAATTCAGACTTTTAACTCAGTTTGGATATAATAAATGAATCAAAACTTGCTCACAAATTTGTATGAATAAATGTTTAAAAAAAATGGAAGTGATATCAACAAAGAAATTAACAATAACCGTAACCCTAGCCTAACAGAATCATGTTTCTTGCCAACACATTAACATCCACCATAAAATCTAGTACTAATTATAAAAATCTGATATTAATTATCAGTTTCTAGCTATAACCTATGCCATTTTGGGGACAATCGATATTGATGGGTTAAAAATATGTAGTATTTGAGAGCATGTATTTGTATTGAAATATAATAGAGTTCAACAAAAAAACTTTTTAATGTAATTCCTTCAAAAAAAGATTTTTTTTCACCTTGCCATTTTGAGGGAAAAGAAAAAAATATTTGAGATTAACTTCTCAAACAAAATAACTTCTGGGCATAGATTTGTAAGAAGGAATATCCATTTGATGCATTGAATCCTAGACAGAATTGAATTTCTATCAATCTCTGAACCAGCATTGAACTCAAGACTGCTTAAACTAAGACTTTTATCCTAGAGGACAATTTAGTATTGGAAATTTTAATCTTTCCCTCTTATGTTGTTTATTCGTCACTAAAATTGAACTAAATTAATGCATAGAAAGTCAAATGAAGACTTTAGTTCAATGGAAGAATATTTTCAATGGAGACATTCTCTAGCATAAACAGTGGAATGAGAAAAATTTAGTTAGAAATATAAGCAAGGTTACCAACAATAACAGATGGCCAAAAAAGACCAGAGGGT